AGAATTGAAGGCTATAGCTTGAATTGATCAAAGATTGTGCTAGAACAAGAGTAATTCAAGACTCTAGGTAAGATTACAACCTCTAGATTGTGTAACTAAGTCATTTAACATGAAATTTCTTCAAGAATATGAGTTTGAATGTGTATATTGAGCTTAGAATAAAGATTTGAGTTGCAATTCATGCATGCATGTCCATTTTCTTACAAATTGAGCATGATTTCTAAGAATTCTCTTATGCATGTTTGAAATCCATCTTCATTTGGGGAAATTATCAAGTTTCTAGTTGTTTTGTGGTGTTTGATCATGTTTTGAGAAGTTTGATACAAGAAAAATTCATACATGTTGTGTTCATGAACATTCATCATGTTTTAAGTTGAAATTGTGAGTTTTTAACAAACTCTTGGGCTATGATTTTATGAAATAATTCTTAATTCATCATGTTTTACAAGTTTACTATGTTATCTCAAGTTTTGGGGCCCAAGAGATGTGTTTTGAAGGTTGGAATTCGAGTTTTGAGCTTGAAGGTGCAATCTGAAAATTCCAGAATTTGCATCTATGCTAGAGCGTGGGAGTTCACGCTCGAGCGACCACTCTGAGTGCGTGCACTCCGCTCGAGCGACCAAAAGTCCGCTCGAGCGTGAATTGCAAGCTCCCAGAAGTTTCATGTCTTTTACAGATCGCTCGAGCGAAGGAATGTGCGCTTGAGCGACCATTCACATTTTGCATGTCCGCTCGAGCGAGGAAAGCTACACTCGAGCGTGGACCTTATTTTCAGAAATTTGACTAAGTGTTCCAAGGCATGTTTTGGCATCCTCATTGCATCTTAGTCATTCCTAAGCCTTAATTAAGCCATAGTAATGAGGTTATGGATTAGAAACACACTAAGAAAAGAATGTACCAAGTTCCGAGACTACAAATGTGTGTGTTTTAGGCAATGTGATAAGAAAGAATAAGAACCAATGTAATGAAAGCTAAGCCTTAATGGCCACTTGAATGTGTAATGATAAGACATGCTTGTGTTATGTATTTTGTGGTTGTAGGTCAAGACTCAAGGGTTGATTGACCATTGCTGGAACCACTGTGAGTAACGTTATTGTAAAGATACGTTCATATGAATTACGTTCCAAATGAAATATGATAAGTTCTGATTTCTGAAATGATATCTGTTTTCGTGAACGAATATTCCAAGTTTAAAATCTATTATGGCATTCATAGATAGTCCCAAGTCATGGGGGATGGCATGAAAATGCGGGTCCATGACATATAAGTAATTACGAGATCTCGTTAGCCACTTCATTGTGGTGATATGTGTTTAATCGGTATCCGGAACCAATTACTCTAGTCGGAAGACATTCTGTGATGTGTTCTATGGGATGTACCATTACTATGTTCTGATAAGAGAATGATTATGCTCTGGTCTGTTTTCTGCTTATGATATATTCGGATTTCGTTCACTAACCCCTTTACCTTAATATTATTCATTGGGCTTTAGCTCATTGTGTGTATATATATATATATATAGGTGAGCATTTTGGAGCCTGAGCCTGAAGGCTTTTGTCTGGATCTGTGTTCCGTTGTCAGCCAACCATTGTGCCTCACGTGGAGGTTCCCGAAGTGTCCTGTGTTCAAGTCCTGTTGATTCTGTGTATATGTATGACTTGATTTAATTCTGTTGGCTGGACTTAAGATACTATATTGTGTGTGGGTATAATGTATGAATGAATTTTGATTATGTATATAAAGTTTTAAATATTCCGTTTCATATAAGTCAGCACAGCTCATTGGACAACTATATTTATGTATTTGCTTCCGCTAGCCCCTTAATTTTGTTAATTTGTTCAGAGGCCTTCGGTAATCCAAGGATTACTGGCTGGTTACGATGCTAAACCTATAGTGGCGGGTTTGGGTCGTGACACAACAAGAGGAAATCTATAACATGATTTCTCAAATAGAGGAAGTCAATGTAATTATTAATACCATAGGGTAGCAAGTGTATTGAAGCCAAACCTTTGGGGTGGACAGCATAATTTATCTTTAACCACTGGAGTTAGGCAGTGGCGAGAACCAGTTTACATCATTAGGAGGTTATGGTTTGATTCCCCTCTTTCCTCAAATGTACAAGGAGAAAAAAAGAAAAAGAAAAGAAGATGAGTAATTGATCCTCATCTTTTTCATGTATGCTGAATTCACCATGCACACGAAGCCATTAATTGGGCAAATTGTAAAATGTTGGCAGGCAAGTTTGAGAAAATATGTTCAGCTGTGAAGGCTGCATCTCTGTGCGAATGATGGCAGACATTAGAGTTTTACCTAGTTTAGTCCTTCCTACTTTTTTCAATTGTCAAGCTACATGCTTGCCTGACATAAATCACTAATGACTTTTGATATCCCTTTATCATTTTGCACAGTACTTTTAACTGAAACCAGCTTGCATTGGAGATAATAATGTTTCTCTTGCTTTCATGTTTTTTAATGGCCTTTTTATTGGAACTGATATGGAATTATATATTTATTCCAGCTACAAAGTTTTGTGGGAAAAAGTAGTCCTCATAAGGTATAAATTATTTTCAGTTCCCATATATTGCTAATCAGTCTATTTTATTTACTGTGTACTATTTAGTATTATTTTTCACTTTGATAATTTTGATTATAATTTATTGTCACACCAATAAAACTATTTAACAGTTACTACTTGACCAAAAATTATGATCTAGCAATCTTCTTATGGACCCTTGAAACAAATAAGAGGAAGAAATGCTACGTATAATCATGTCTTTAGTTCTTTTATTTCTTTCCGTGAAATCTAAGTTATATATTTTATTTTACAAATGTGTGTGCAATCAAATTCACTTAGCACGAGCAGTATAACAACCTACAAAGGTTTTCATTCTATCTCCACTTTAACATGGATCTTTCTCCAAAACACCCACACACAAACACACAAAAAGGAGGCACTAACCTCGAAAAATAGTGAGTTCTCAAACATAGGCTTCACAAGCAACAACCACGTCGCATAAGTAGGTACCACAAGATTGGTTCAGGCCGTTTGATTTTGGTAGATTTGGTGGATACTTTCCCACCCCTACTTAGCTCAATTGAAGAACAAATCTGATAACCTGGTATTTGTAATTTCTTTTTCTCACCCACCCTCACATGATCCCATGAATAATCCCATGAATGATCCTATGATCCCACCTTCCTCCTTTTCTTTTTATTTTTTCATTTTCTCCCCCCCCCCCCTTTTTTTTTCTTTTTAGTTTCCTTTTTGTTTATTTAATTTTTTTTTTTATTTTTGTTCACTTATTTTTATTTACACCATGCCTTCAGGCATGAGTATACAGTAGTCCTTAAATATTTGGAGAGGAATGAATTTGTACATGTATTTTCTCTATAAATAGAAAGGTTGGGTTGATCAAATGGGGAGAAACACTGAAGGAGAGTGTGTAGAGAAAGTTTTTTTTTCCACGGTCTCTTTCAAGAGAGTATGACAATTTCTACAAATCATATGTATCTATTCTTCTTACCCTTAGGGCTTAGATGAAGCCCTACTCAAGAAACATTTGAGGTTCTATAATTAGTTCTATACTTGTATTATTTTTAGTTAACAATTGCATAACATTTATGGATTTTTCTACATGTAATGTTTTATCTCACTATTTGTGTTTGATTTATGTGATTTTAAATGCATAGTAGCACATGGCTCAAGTTTCTTTTGCAATGCTTCTTTTTTGATAATGTAGATAGAATGGTCTTTTTTTATCGTTTTAGAACCGGTTCATTTCTGATGAGAACTCTGTTCTTGACAAGGTCATGAGTTGATTCCTATGTTGTATTTTTAGCTTTCTTGTCAGCCATTACTTAACATCTGCTTCTGATTATGCGATTTCTGTGTATGTATAAGTATTATAACCAAACCAAACCAAACCAAACCTTAAGTCCTAACAAATAGGGTCGGCTTGTATATATAATTATTATCTTGCCTAATATCTTTCTTTCCTTCCTTTATCTACATTTTTTTAAAAAGGTCTCTTCATACTCCTGTCATGACAAAAAGTTCTCCACAAATTGTTTGAGGTTACCACCTCAGGTTGAACAATGATGGTTGCATTGAGCATAGTACTTGTGTAAATAACACTGCCAGTGAGCATTTTATGGTTGAACGTTTGATTATTGACGATCTTTTGTGCTGGACAGTTCAATATAAGGTGATTGTTCTCATTGTTTCATTTTTTTATTCCTTAATAAGTCAAGCGAAGCCCTATGATATTCAAAATACTGTGTTTGGGTTTCTCATTCTCTATATTGATGTTTCTGGCTACATATTAAACCTGCTGCTGAAACTACTCTCAAAGTGAAACCTCTGAAATTGTATGTTTTGGGAAGATTTATTAATGCACCGATTTTAATGAGTGGTTTAATTAAACTTAGGCATCAAGGTAATTTAAGTATATACTCGTTGAAATTATTGTTAAATCGCATGTTGTTAATTTGTTTATGGAAGAAACTTAATAGATACTTTACCTAATTCCTGTATTTCTAGAGATTTTCATGTCCATTCATGTTGGTTTTGAAGTATCAAAACCTACTGCAATTTTCTTCAGTTGTTTTGTTGTTAGAAATTTGTAGGTTCATCTCAAAGTTAATGATGGGAGGACTTGAATGGTGATTAATTTATTTGAATGTTGCTGATGCCATTTCTAATGTAACTAATTATAATTATGAAACAATATTTGGCGGCAAAATACTAGTTATATTGCATTTAGTTTTACCATAATTATAGCCAATAGATATTCTTTTTGATTTCCATTTGTAATATGAAATTAGCACAAAGCTGAGTCCTAGTGATGCATAGACACAGTTTGCAGTGCTCCTGCAACTATTTTATGGATATAAAGAATTCTATGTTCAGATATAGCAATGTGATGCGTTTACTTAATATCGATGATGCATGTGATGCGTTTACTTAATATATCATGTTTGCTTCTACTTTCCAAGTACGAGCATGGTTCTTGGGACGAAAACAGGGCGGCGTAAGAAAATAGCAACTGACCCCATAGCATCACCCTCGGGAACATTTGTACCTGTCATTGTCACACCACAGACTTTATCCGATAAGACACAACCGTAGGATGACACACAAACATTTGTGGAAGAGACACAGGCGCACGGCGTAAATAAGACCATTTTAGTTTTGTAGGTGTGTTTCGGCCCCTAAAGATCACTTTACTTGACTGAAGCAAGATTTTATGTCATCTAGAAGAACAAGTCTTGCATGTCTTAAAAAATTATAATCCCTTACAAAATTTGCTTGGATGATTGCTAAATTTAGTATTAATTATTGTTCATTATATGTTTGGGGAACTAATTGCATGTAAAGGCCTTACACTTGTTGCCCCTTCTTGACTAGGGAAAAGTAACTCAAATCGTGTACGCAGTCCTACAGTCGGAAAAAGAGTGCAAAAAAGGCTTGCAAGAAAAAAAAAAAGGGAGAAGCTACATGTATATGTCAATCGCATGCTGAATGCACTCACTGGAGGGAATGCCATACCTGCCACAAATGAGTTGGGCTTGCAGATAAGGCGATTGTGCCCCCTTAAGGGAGTAAAGTCATGGAAGAAAATTGATCAGAGTATCAAAGATGTTGTAGTACAGGTTGTGCTAGTAATTTCAGACCTTAAACTAAATGTCTCCATTATGTAAAGTTCCAATTGCGGCATTCCATTTTTGTAATACGTCATACACTTATGCTTGCAGGACACGCTTGAAATTGGTGAGGATTTCCATACTGATCAACAAGCTCAAGAGATCGTTGATACGAAGGCGTATCTCTTGTACAAGGACTGGAGGTACACCCTAAAGCAACACTACGAAAAACTTGTAGAAAAGGGTGTTGATGACCCATATAGTCATCCACTTAAAGGAGTTTTCTTGGATGATTGAAAACACGTGATTGATGTGGCTTGGAAGAATGAATCTCATTTGGTAACAAACAAATATAAACGACTCTATTGTTTTATTTGTGTATTATGCATTGATATGTACTAATTCTTGAATAATTCTTTTTTTAGAAATGCTCTAAAGCTGGTAAGGCAAACCGGAGTTTTCTACCATACAATCACACCAGTGGATCTCGCTCATTTTCAATAGTAATGTCGCTCATGGTAAGTTATATACATTTGGAACAGATTTGTCATCACTTATATAAGTAGGATGAAAGTCATGGTTACTATTGTGATGAATTAATTTTATTTGAAACTAACAGACAGATGAAAATTGGGAGTTGGATTTTCTGGAATTTTATTCAAAATCACACAAATCGAAGAAAACAAACGAATGGATTGATCCCAAATGTGGTGAGCTACATGTAAAGAGTAAACGTTTTTCGCCTACAGTCACAATATTAATGTCTATCTTAGCACAAAATTGCATGTGATTCTTTGTGCCGTTGTTGAATAGTCTACTTTTTTTGGTAATGACAGGATGCGATGGTGAATCTACAAGCGACAACCACGGATGCAGGGATCCCATTGGCACATGAAGAACTCTCACGGCAAGTGCTTGGACAGAGAAAGAATTACTTATGTGGATTTGGGATAGGCCCACGACCCTATTCACCATCTGATATTGCGGCACGATCTCGTGACAAACAAATGGAGGCAATGCGATCTGAGATTGATGTTCTTCAAGAAAATTTAATGAAAGAGAAAGAAGTGCGCTAGAGAGATCGTAAAAAGATGACGAGAGAGAGAGGAGTTGATGAAAAAAGTGGAAGAAGAAAAAAAAGCAAGGGAGGCGCAACAAGAACAACTAAATCATTTGAACTTTGTGGTTTTACGACTATCAACACTGTATGAGGGTTCAGACGGGCATCGTCGTATTTGGTAAGAAGAATTTCATTCGTATCATACTAACACTTATACACACTTAGATTTACTTATTCACTAAACAATACTATGCATTGGGTATACCATAACAAGAGACATCAGGTTTGCTAGGTATAATATATTGGTATTTATTTTCAATACATTTAATACAGCCTTCCTAAAAACGTTTTGTGCATTGGGTCCGTAATTTTGGTGCTGGGTAGTTAAAACAAATATGGCAAGGTTGGTTAGAATTACCTTTTTCAGGTATCCAACGATGTTCACAATCTGTATTTAACTTAAACTCTTTTGAGGAAGAAAAAGGGGTAAACTTAGTCATTTTTGTTCGTAAGGATTGAATGTGGTTGATTGGTTAAGATAATAATTTAACTTATTGGTCAGAACATGTAGACCATTTGATTGACAAGGTTCACAATCTGAATCATCATCAGCTCCTTCAACAGAATTATACATATCAGTAGGGTCTATAATAATACAAGCATTATAAATGTTCTTGATCTAGATTGACCACCTTGTTTCCATTTCTGAGTGTTCCTAGGATTCTTAAAGGTTGACCTAGATTGTCTATACTCAGGGGGATCATTTAAATAACTTAAGGGAGTCTCAATCTTACTACAAAATCAAGGACATACATATAGTCATTTTTTTAGATTTGCATTTGTAATACATTAAGCAATCTTCTTGGAATTTGGTTTGTCTTGACTTTGGGTCTTGTCCTGTAACCAAATAAGCAATTTTGTTTGTAAAATTGTTGATATTTGGTCCTAATTCCATTAAAGCTAGGTATTTGGACCTAAATAACAATGCCTCTCATGATAGCATAATACTTAAATTTCTATCCTGGAGAAGTTGTAATTGTATAATGTGTTCCGAATCCATTGAAGAAGGGCATTTCGGGGGCGAAAATTGAAAGCAACCCCCGAACCGTAGTGTGGCCGAAACGAACAGCTTCCCATTCCAAATATGACTTGTGACAACTGACGGAATGTTATTCGGACCCGTAGGTTGGGATTTAGAGACGAATACGCCAAAACTTAGTCGAAAAAAGGCGTTTTGGGAGCGAAAATTCAAAACAGCCCTTGAACCGCCGTATGGCCGACACGAACACCTTCCCCATGCCAAATAGGACTTGTGACAACTGATGGAATGTTATTCGGACCTGTAAGTTGGGATTTAGAGCCAAATACGCCCAAAACTTAGTCGAAAAATGGCATTTCGGGGGCAAAAATTGAAAACAGCCCCCGAACCGCCGTGTGGCCAACACGAACAGCTTCCCCATGCCAAATAGGACTTGTGACAACTGACGGAATGTTATTCAGACCCGTAGGTTGGGATTTAGAGACGAATCCACCCAAAACTTAGTCGAAAAAAGGTGTTTCGGGGGCGAAACTTCAAAACAGCCCCCGAACCGCCTTGTGGCCGACACGAACAGCTTCCCCATGCCAAATATGACTTGCGACAACTAACGGAATGTCATTCGGACCCGTAAGTTGGGATTTAGAGCCGAATACGCCCAAAACTTAATCGGAAAAGGGTGTTTCAGGGGCGAAACTTCAAAACAGCCCCCGAACCTCCGTCTGACTCTCACGGGCAGCTTCCCCATTACAAATAGGACTTGTGACAACTGACAGAATGTATTGGAGATATATAGTAATGGAAAATTATGGGAAAAATATTTTGAAACCAATATGAACTCAGTTTACGCCTTGTTTTAAACTTGCTAATTTTTTGAACGTGCACACGTGTGTTGTATTATATTTAAGCTTTCATACAAGTATGAAACATGCTCATGGTGTTTCTGAGGCCATGTACATCATAAGATATCAAGTATTATTTCTTTGATGAACCATTTATAAGTGTCTCAACATATATTTCTACATATTTCCTATTATGATTGAAATTTATTTTTGTTATTATTTTTATCACATGTTCTAATATCCTTTCTGAAATGGCACTGATATACATTAATAAGCAGCGATGGTTTTATATCCAATCTAATGATTCAAGTGCCTTTTGCAAACAAATAATGGTGAAGTTGGTAAAAAGAATAATTTCTATTCACATTGGGCTTTGATATTGGTTTAGCCACAGAATTTGGATACATGTTGCATACAAATAGAAGATTGTTACATTAGCTTTATGTTACTAATGAAAGATTTAGTAATGATTGTTCTGCATTTAACATTGTTCCTTATAACAAAAGACTTTAGAAAGACTGATAATTGATTCATCATGGAAGGTTGCTTCTCACCTATTTTTATTTGTCACTTGTTGCCAAATTCATTCATGAAGTTGGGCATTTTTTGTTCCAATTCTAATGTTTTTTTTGTTTTTTGTAGATGACTTTGTTGCGTGGACTTCCAGAGATATGTTGGTATATAGAGAAGAAATTGTACTTTTGTATAGAAGTAATATACTCCCTCCGTCCCAAAATAATGGTCCCTTTTGGGGAATCCAACTTTTTTTGGTAGTATAATTATTGCATTTGAAAAAAGTTGATTTTCTAAAATTATCCTTTTGATAGTACATTTTTTGAGAATATCAATGCATAATTGTACTTTTTATGTTGTTTATTAATTTAAAAGAAGGGTAAAATAGGAAATTTATATTATTTTTGTACTTGATTTTTGAAGAGGGACTAATATTTTGGGACAATGAAAAATGGAATAAGGGACTAATATTTTGGGACGGAGGGAGTAATACTTTTGTCGTCTCCGGCTTTTGTGCAGTTAACTATTACTGATATAGAAAACTTTTGGCAGCGAACAGATAATTACTAGCATGGTAGCTAGATCACCTTTTGTCGCCTTACAGATATATGATTTTTTGTCGTGGTACATAAATGTACTTTTGGCTTAGTACATACATCACCTTTTGTCGTGGTACAGATTACAATGGTAATTTGTACCATGCCAAATGGTCATTTCACATGGTATAGTAAATGTAATTTTTGTATATGGAGGGCTTTACTTTTTGTATAATTCTATATGTTGTATGAAATTATTATTTTAGTTTGGACAATAGTTGGTTTGTATGTACTTGGACAGTTAAAGTAATTTATTTTTTGTATACGGATGCAGATTGTGAAATGATTGATAGTTTATGTATCATTTTATTTATATGTGTATTACAGGTTACATGGAATACGGACAGGTTATGGACACATTATAATATTTGCAATAAAACATAATATCATGTTTTTGCTGACTAAACATTTTGTAGCCAAAAAAAAGAGGAAAAAAAAAAAAACAAAAAAAAATTTGGAAAAAAAAAAAAAAAAAAACAAACATTTGGCTACTAAAAGTTTTGCAGCTAAAAGGAAATCAAACATTTGGCTACTAAAATATTTCGTAGCTAAAAACAAAAGTTAAAGAATAAAAATACTTTTGGCGACTAAAAATTTAGTAGCCAAAAATGTGGGAGTTTAGGCAACTAAATTTTTAGTAGCCAAAAATGTGGAAGTTTAGGTGACTAAATTTTTAGTAGCCAAAAGAAATAGTATTTGCCCACTAAAATTTTAGTAGCCAAAAAAGATTGACTTTAGGCGACTAAAATTTTAGTAGCCAAAACACTAGTATTTGATTTAGGCGACTAAAAAATTTAGTAGCTAAAAAATTTTCCGCAACTAAATCATTGGCTTTTGGAGACAAAAAAATTGGTCGGCAAAAATGTATTATTTAATTAATTTTCCAACCTATTGGCGACTAAATATTTGGTCGGCAAATGAACACATTTGGCGACTAAATTAAGTTTAGTCGCCAATTAGCTTTCTCAACTACACTTTGGTTACTAATTTTCTGACCAAAAAATTTGGTCACTAAAGGCTATAGGCGACTAAAAAAATGACTTTTGGCGACCAAAAATTTAGTCGCCAAAAGTGAAAATTCTTGTAGTGAGGGAGTGTTTAGGAATGCCACATAACCAACTTTTTTTCGAATAAATTATCGATAGATCCTAATAATTGGATATAATTCCCATCAAATCCTATTGAAAATAAGTTCTATTACAATTGTTGCTAAAAATAATTTTTTTGTGACAATTTTTTACATATGCTGCTAAAAATTGACAATCAATGACTTTTTTAATCATGATTTTAATAAATTGTCGTTAATACTTACAATTAGTGACATTTTTCTACAACGAACTTTTCAAACTGTCACTGAAAGTTGAATATTAGTGACTTTTTTTGTGACGATTTTTTTAATCTATCACTAAAACTTAAGTGACATTTTTTGTGACAAAATTTTCAAACTGTCGCTGAAAATTAATAATTAGTGACTTTTTTTTTAATAGTGTATGATGAAAAATGTCATTAATTATCAAAGGACCTATTGGATAATAAGTCTACTTAATAGGACCTACATGTAAGTCCCTATTTTTTTCCCCAAAAAAGTAAAAAGAGTAAAAACTACACAAACAAAAGTGTTTGGGATGAATCAAGAGTAACTATATTTTTACACACTAGATATTTTCTATGTACACATTTAATGAATCTATTTTTAATTATAATTTTATCTTTAAATAAAATTATCAAAATAACCTTATCTTCCTCATCCAAAATCCTAATTCCTAAGTCCTAATCTCTTACCATTCCATTGGCGGCACCTACTTCCTCCATTATTTCTTTCCCTGGGTCATCTTTCTCAACTTCATCTCTAGTGTCATGTACTTTAACTCCTTCTTTGGCATTACAAGGCTCCATATTCATGGCAGATGCAGTGGTGTAGACATGGAGGTCGCAGTGCCTAAGATTTAGAAAGAATAGTGGATAGCAAAAATAGACGTTGGAGAGTAGATGGATTGGTAATGGCGGCTGACGATGACAGAAAGACAAGAGTGGCAGTTGTGGTACAAGTTTTTGATAGAAGAGATAGTGGCTGGCCGACGATGAATAAAGAAGATATGAATTAAAGGGTTAGGGTTAAAGTTAGGGTTAGGGTTTGAATGATGAAGAAGATGAGGGTATTTTTGATAAGGTAGAATTTGTATAGAGCAAAATATAAGATTTTAAATTCATTAAGTGTGTATTTTAAAAAAAAATGTGCATTAAAAAAATTTAGTATATGAAAATAGAATTATGTATAAATCAAGAAAAAATAATAAATTTATTATGACAAAATGATGAATTTACCCTCCAAGTCACTATCCTAACAACCTACATGGAAACGTGTCCAAAGACCAAGGGTAAAATGAAAACGGATTCGCTTACCGAACTGGAGAGTGTTGTTAGGCTTGTAGGGGCTCATCATGGGTCTCATTTTGATAATCCAAATTGTTCAATGTATAGAAATTGTTAAGTACTATATGTCTGTAAAAAATCACATTGATTGGATATATATAACTATTTCATCAGATTAGATTTCTGCCAACCGTTTATTTTTCACCATCCATTTTTTTTTATATACAAAACTTACTTAATTACATAGTTATCGATTTCCAATCAACGTGATTTTTTATAAGTATATAATACTCAATGAGTTCTACATATTGAACAGTTCACATTATCGAAACGGGACTCATGATGAGCTCTCACGAGTCTAACAGTACCTTCCAGTCCGATCACGAATTGCAAAGAAGCCAAACCCAAATGAAAAAACAAGAACAGAAACTTAAGATGACATCATATATATTTTCAAACAACTAAAAAATATACAAATATTTGATAAAAATCGATTTTAAAATTTTATAATATAAATAATTTAGGGGTGCAAATTTTTATATTTTTGAGAGTGTGAACTACTAAAATCTTGCAGCTGCGAAGTATTCTAATTTAAAATTATGTTACTAATTATTAATATAATATAATTTTGGGGAAAAAAATTGGGGTACAACTGCACTCCACGCCCTTAGATCCATGATTGAATGTAAGTCATAATTAATATTACTATATATCATGATCAAATACCAATTGAGACCTAACAAAAAATCTCTTCACTAATAACAAATATCATTATAATTAAATTAGACTTAACACAACAAGATATCATAATTATATACTACAAAAGTTCTAATCAAAAACATATGATACACTTAAATGTGTATGATAAATTTTCCTAATTGTGTGGGCTCCACCTAATATACGAATGTTAAGATTTGCTTGAATCTTTAATTTCTTAAATTATACCTTTATTATATATTTCTTGTCATGATACTCACAAGATACAAGTAAGATTGAGGTGTTTTTGAAAAGTGTTTTATAAGTTATTACACTATTTAATTTATTTGAGTTATATTATTTCTTTATTTTCTATACGTATTTTTATAATAAATAAAAAATTAATTTATTTAATCCTATGCTTGTTTTTTTTTTTTTATCTTTTTATTTATTATGAGGTATTTAAAAAAAATTAGTTAAAAACTAATTTTTTTAATTTTTTAATTTTTTTAATCTTTTTATATATAAAAAATATAAGAGATAATATAACTAAAAATAAATTAAAAGTAAAAAATTAACTTAAATAAATTAAAAGTAAAAAATTGCCTTTTAATCAGTTTCTCAAACCCATATATTTTTTAGCGTTGCTTTATTTTAATAAATATATCTGGCCACGATTTCCACGAGCCACGATTGTCACGTGCTCCACCAACCAGATTTGCTTCTTTTCCTTTTTCGCTTTTAAATTTATTTTTAGGTTAATTACAGAAAAAAAAAAAAAAAAACTCAAGGTTTTGCTTATTTTTCAATTTAAACCCTAGAATTTCAATTTTAATAAATTAAACTCTAGAATTTTATCCATATTTCAATCTGTCTATCTCTGTCATATTAAATTAACGAAAATCTGGACAGAATTTTAGATTCAAATCTATATGTTCAAACACTTATATCTCCCTCATTGTAATTTTGTTTCACCTCATTTTTGCGTTGTTGGTTTTAACTCATGGCCTAATTTTCATTCCACTCTTCATAAGTCTTGTTCCACATCTTTTTATTTGCCGTCAGAGCTCCGAAATTTGGTCAAAAAAAAGATTTTTCGCTCTTTAAGCAAAAATTTTAGATTCGAAATCCACATATTCAAGCACATGTATTTCTCTCACCGTAACTTCATTTCACCTAATTTTGGCGTCATTAGATTCAACTCATGGCTTAATTTTTATTTCATCCCTCATATGCCTTGTTTTATCTCTTTTTGCATGTTGTGGGATCTTTGAAAGTTGGCTAAAAATAAGCTCTCCTTTTTTTTTTTTTTGTTTCTCTTGTTTCCCTCCTCCTCCGCGGCTCCTCCTTCTGACTTGATGATGATGATGATGCTGCTGCTTCACCATCATTATCTGCAAGATGAGGTGGTGGTGATAATGGTGATGGTGTTGTCGAGTAATAATAGGTATACAACTACACATAAAAATCAAAAACCAAATGAGTTGGTGAGCATGTTAGAGTGCCTTAGTTTCCAATTAAGCATCATCCATTGCATCTCC